CTGACTTTTTAACCCAAGAGAATGATAATAAGGTTTTGTTTCAAGGATTGCCTTTCTAGGGCAACCTTGGCTAAGATCAGGACAAAGATGTAGGCAGCTTTGGTAACCTACAAATGATCCAAACCTGCTCGGATTCTTGTAAGAACTGAGTGGTGAAGTGTGTGCCAAATCAAGTCACCTCCTCTTCTCGGGACCTCAATATTTATCAGTGCCCTACATACCCTCTCCTTCTCATCTCTTTCAGGGTGTCCTTTCCTGCAATGCTTGCTTGCTTGCTTGCTTTTATTCAGCATTCCTTTCAAACTCCAGCTGAAAACTTAATTCTTCCAAGGAGTCTCTGATAAATGCCCCAGCCTTAATTGTTCCTTTGTATTATATTCTCCATTTATTCTTTATGTTGAATATGGCCTATTCCATTGTAGTATATATAATTAAAATAATTATAATATTAAGAATAAGATAGAGTCATTTGAAGGCCATTATTAAAAATAATAGCTTCCTAGACTTCTCCCTGGAGATTCTGATTTGGGGAACCTGGCATGGAGTGGGGGATAGGAACGAGTAATTTGTATTTTTAACAATGGCTACACCTAATTCTTAACCTCAGGTAACATTGGGAAACATTAGCCTCATCTTTGTAAGGTTGGATTTGGAGTCAGACTGTTTAGGATTTCAGGCTGAGCTCTTAGTCTTGTAGCTCTGTGCAGCGTTAGGCAAGTTACCATGTCCAACAGCCATGCATTTTTAATCCAGAAAATGGGAATGATAATCATTATTATAGTCCTGTTCTGGGGGAATCAAATGATTCATGCAGAACATTAGCACAGTGCCTGGAACTTTCTAGGAGCTCAGTAAATATTTGGCAATTATGGTTATATTTGCTTGTAATTTGCTTGGTTATGTAAATAGGATTCAAGGTTTGGATGATGGTTTCTTTGGCTCTTCTGTAGTGCTGTGGTGATTTAGGGTAGGGTGACCTAGATGTTTTTACCCTAGCCAAAGACTATCGTCAAGAGTCTGCTAACCTCTGCCCATTTTTATTGCCCCAACAAGGTATCACCCTTTGTTCTCTAATTTTACCTGTCATCTCCATTAAATTATAGAAAGGTCTTTGAGGCCATTGACCTTGTCATCTATTTTTATCACATAGTAGATCCAGTATCCTGCATGATGGGCTATCAATTATCTAATTGAGCTATCTAATTCAAAAGGAATTATCTAATAAAACACACATAAAAACACATTAAAAAAAGTATCTAATAGAACACACACTTATCTCATGGAATTATAGAACCATCTCTTCTTACATTACAACAGCTCCTGTGTGTTTTGGGGTCTTACACTCTTGCTCCTTTCCAATCAGTCCCTACACAAAGCCAAAGTGATCACAGAATGTTATTCCCTTTTGAAATTTCCCAGTACTTCTCACTGTATTTATTTTTTTATTTAAAAAAAATTCTTTTTTTCATGTTTTTATTTATTTTTGAGAGAGAGAGAGACAGTGTGAGCAGGGGAGGGTCAGAGAGAGAGGGAGATACAGAATCCAGAGACAGGCTCCAGGCTCTGAGCTGTCAGCACAGAGCCTGACACGGGGCTTGAACCCACAAACCGTGAGATCATGACCTGAGCCAAAGCTGGGCGCTCAACTGACTGAGCCACCCAGGTGCCCCCTTCGCACTGTATTTAGAATAAAATCCAAACTCCTTACTGTAGCTTTGAAAACACTACCTGACCTGGGCTGGGTTTTCTATCTGGCCTCATTTCTGATCACTCACTGCCTGGGTTATTACATCCCTATAAATTTGCTGTCCCCCTGCTTGGATTGTCTTTTTCCCTAGAACTTCATGTCAGTCAGCTGAGATGTCACTTTCTCGGACACCTTTCTTCACCTTCCCATCCAATATTTTTCCTCTCATTAGTTTCTATCCTATTATTCTGCTTTATTTTCTTCAGATCACTGACCACTATCTGATATAGTACTTACTAATAACTGCTATTATTTGTTTATTGTAGCCTCTGTGAGATCAGGCATCTTGTCTATCATATATTTAGCACTGGGGATAGAACCTGGTACATTTCACGTTCTCTATATTTGTCAAATCAATTTGTGAAACCTACAGATAGACTAAAGAACATCTATAGAGTTCAGTAGATCTCAACTTTTTAAAGCAGAGGACTCTTACCAAAGCATAATATTTGGTTTTAAATTATTAATCTGTGTATTTATTTAGTTCTTTCCTGACGAGCAATAGGATTCTCTACACATAGCAAGTTCTTAGCAAATACTTAGCAGTTTAATGCATCTTTGTTCAACAAGAGCTACCACCAGGGGGAAATCAATCCTCTGGCCAGTAGCTGTGGATGGTGAGAAAATCTGGCTGGAGGAGAAACAGACCCAACCTCAGGGGACAAAGGTAGGCAGGAGGCCCTGCGTGTTCTGGTAGCCCATTTCCTCCATGGCTTCCCCTCAACTCTGCAGAGAGAAGCAGTAGGAAGCAAGAGAGGTAGGGCCATCGTTTGGGACACCCAGAGGAGAAACAACAAGGGCTCTTTAATGCCAGCCTGGACTGCAGAGAGAAGCTGCCTGGCCTGGAGCAGCCCTGGGCCAGTGGCGGCAGCACTGAAGGAAAGATTGCAGCGGTGGTGGTAGCAATGGTGGTACCAAAAGGACAATATCTCAGAGAGGCACTGACCCGTGAAGCTGCTCCCGCCAGGATTAAGCCATAAAGGATTGAGAAGGAGGCAATGAATGCAAGTGGCAATGAGGAGGGCATTTGACCCCTCACCCATCTTTCCAGGTGACAGGAAGAGGTTAGGGTACTTGGCATTCTAATCGTTGAGCATGTGTGATCTCTGACAAAACTATTGGTTTTTCTGTTTGAGTTTTAGTTATCTTTCAGTATCATCTTCAGGGATTAAACATATCCAGAGATGACAGAAATGTTGGAGTTAACAAGCAAGGACTTTAAAATAGTTCTTATAAATATGTTTAAGGATTTAAAAGAAAATAAAGACTCAGTTGAATAGAGGAGCAGTCTCACTAGAGAAATGAAAACAATAAAAGATAACTAGAAATTCTAGAACTGAAAACTCTCTGAAATGAAAAAAAATATCCCTAGATGGGCTTAATAGTAAATTGCATTATACAGAAGGAAAAAAAAATGTGAACTTAAAAATGGCAATATAAACTATACAAACTGAAGCACATATAGAGAAAAAAGGCTAGAAATAAATGAACAGAGTCTCATGGACTTGTAGGGTAGTAGAAGATGGCCTGACATCTATGAAACTGGAGTCCCAGGAAGGAGAGGGGAGGGTTACTGGGATAAAATATATATATATATATATTTTTTTTTTTCAGTGAAAAGAGCTGGGAAAAAATCCAAATTTGATGAAAAATATTAACCTATGAGTTTTATAAACTCAATGAACTGTTAGGAGGATAGAAATAAAGAGAACCACTTCTAAGCACAACATAGTCAAATATCTAAAAGCAAGGACCAAAGAGAAACAATAACAGCCGAAGGGGGGAAAACTCATTCTGCACAAGATCTAGGGGAACAATAATCTGACTTTTCCACAAGCCAGAAGACAATGCAATAACATCTTTAAAGTGTTGAAAGGAAAAAAAAACCTGTTAACATGGAATTAGAAACATATTCCCTTCAAAAATGAAGGGAATAAAAAGATAGAGAGCAAGAGCAAGAAAGAAAACAGGAAGTAAAGGGAAAGAAAGAGGGAAGAAGAAAGAAAGAATGAAAAAGGAAAACATTGACAAATAAAAGCTGAGGGAATTTGTCAACTGTAGACATGTACTTTAAGAAATGTTAGTGTCTTCAGGGTGAAGGAGGCAATACCAGATGGAAACTCAGATCAACATGAAAAATGAAGAATGTTGAAAATGGTAAATATGTGAATCAATAGAAATTTCTTTTTTCCTTGTTATTGAATTAATGTCACTATTAATTATAGTGCTAAGTTCTTAGTGGACACTATAGTTGTCCGGGAATCGAAATCTGGGGCCTGGTTCATTTCTATGACCTTAAATAAATTGCTTAATAACTTACCTTGCTTGGATCATGGACCAAGTAGAATTCTAATACTCGATATTTTTCTCTTTTTGATATGCATTCCATAAATATTCCTATTATCACTGCCAAACACCTCCAAAGGGCTGTCTATCCATTACTTCTCAAATTTAGTGTGCATATGAATCACCTGGGAATCTTATGAAATTCAACTGCAATTAATAAACTCATTGCAGTATTGGTAAAAGGACAGAAAAATAGGTCAATGCTATGGAATAGAAATATATCTTTTTTCCCCTTTTACTTCTAACCTGTTATTCTTTATACTTATGCCTTATATTTAAAGCTTTTATCTTATAAACTGTACATCTCTATGTAAACGGAGTTTTTTACCTACATCTGTCTTATAAACTCATTTTTGTCTTTTTACATGGTTCTATAATCTCTGTCTTTTAACTAGAGTCGTTTGTCTAATTACATTTAATATCATTGTTGATGTTGAGCTTACATCTACCATCTTGCTATTTGTTTCCTTCCATCTATTTGTTTTGTCCCTCTGTTTTTATATTCCTTTGTTTCTCCTTTCCTTCCTCCTTTTGGATTTCCTGAGAATTTTTAAGTATTCTACTCTGTCTCCTCTATTGGCTTACAAGCTGTACGTCTTTGTTTTCTTTTTTGGTGGCCGATATAGGAATTGTCACATGTATCTTAACAGAGTCTACCATGATTTCACATGATATCACTACACACGTAGTATAACAAACTCACAAAAGTAGACATCTTGCTACCCAGCTTGTCCTTTGCACTATTGGTGTCATATGTCCTACTCCTTCATAAGTGAAAGCCCCACAGTTGTTACTGTTTTTGCTTTACGTAGTCAACCATCTTTTAAAGCAATTAAACGAAGTCAGTATTAGAGCAGTCCTGGGAAACTTTCTAAGCTTCTCTGCTTGCTGTGTTTTCCAAATGCAGGTTTTCCAAATGCAGCAAGCGCGTCAAGTCCTCTACCTGCTGGGTTCAGGTGAAGCAACCCTCAGTAAAGTCACCTCTGCTGTCCCAGGGTCTATTTCTCAGAATCTCTTCAAAATTCACACTAGGAAAAGAGGAGAGCAGGATGCTTAAAGAAGAGGATGAATACTGACCAGGAGATGGGGAGGATAAAACCCCATTAAGTCTGTATTTTAAAATCTCATTAATCTTCACTTTTTATGAAGTATAATTTGAAGAGATATAGTTCTTTTCAGAAAGCAAGTTGTGAGGCACTTGGAGGTTAGTTCACCCAAGGGGATGCTGAAAATCATACTTGAATTGTCAGTCATTCCAGAAAGCAAAATTCAAGTACTAAAGAGTGAGTCTGTAATAGAAGTCCCCGGGCAAAGAAAGATCGTTGCTTCCTCCCAAGGTCATCTGGTATGGGAGTAAGGGGGTTCGAAGAAAATGTGTCATTGATGGTTTAATAATATTTGACCTGAGAGATTTTTCTAATTTTAATTTTTTTTACATAGAAAACCCAGACTGTCTTAAACCTGCTAAGTGATATATGTGGGTTAAAACTGCATGGAACAACATTCCATACACTTTCTAATCACCTCAATGTTTGCAAGTACTGTGTATCTCCATTAAAATATATGTTTACGTTATACTTTAGATCTCCTTTGGTTACTCTCATGTTTTGTAAGAACAGAAAGCTTATCTAAGTCTTCTCTGTAATGGGAATAGAAACCGTGCTAATATCTGAATCATGCTGGGCATAAAAAAGAAAATTAGGGCCCTCTCCACACTCAGTACCCCTTCCTGGCATAGAATGACAGAATATTAATATAAAAAGGACTGCTTTTTTTTTTTTTTTTTTAAATATTCAGAGTGTTGCTAAGTGCCATGGTCCTTCATCTTTGGAAATCCTGTGGCTTTCAGGGTCACTGGCTATGTGTTATATTCCAGCAGAGAGCACAATTCATCAGCTGTGGATATTCTTTGTATTCTCAGTGTTGTTCATGGCTGTTTACTTAATGGGCTGTCTGACACCTTTCATTTTAAAAAAGCCCTCATGTTTGTGATTACCGTGTGTCAAGGTATCGGGTCTCTGGCTAGCCTTGCACAGTCCACTGGCCTGTGCTCATGGGAAAGTGGACATAGTTGTAAGTGTCATGATGCTTTTCTGTTAGGTTAAATAAAATGTAGAAACTGGTGGTATTCACAAAACTTCTGGTAAAAGAATTATCTTGGCATCAGGGAGCGCCCGGGTGGCTCAGTCAGTTAAGCAACCAACTCTTGGTTTCGGCTGAGGTCATGATCTCATGGTTTGTGGGATCAAGCCCCGTGTCGGGCTGACAGCATGGGACTGCCTTGGGATTCTCTCTCTCTTTCTCTCTTTGCTTCTCCATGCTCTCAAAATAAATAAAGATTAATTTTTTTTTGTTTTGAATTAATGAAAAAGGAAATATGTGCTATGAATAATGTCTGTAAGTAGCCTTGGTTTTTCTATAAGGAATGTCCTCCATGTTAGCACCTGCAGTATGATAGCCTGTGTCATATTAGTTTTGTAATATTAGTATTTGTACGGAATGACGGCAGGCAGACAAACTGGGTTTTATTCCTTACAGGTTATTATTGGCTGATGGTATTCCTGTGAAGGCGTACGGTATTAAGTGAAGCCATGTGAAATCACTGTTTATGTAGGCAATTTTATATGGCTCTAGGAAATAAGAAATAGTTTAATTGGTTTTCTCTATATCATTGTGATTCTGCCACAAATATTTTAAATTAATACATATATTTAAAACTGAAAAAACTGAAACTTGAAGGCAAGATTTGTTTCTTCTCGCTCTTGCTGTGTTTTTGCTCTTTGTCATTGCCTTCTTGCTCTCCAGAAAATGGAGATTCTCTTTACAGAAAATCTGACATTTGCCATTCTGTAGCCCCTTGAGAGGTAAATAAGTAAAAATACGAATATTACCTACTCAGCTGTGGGTTAAAGCCGTCTTTAGATCCTTCAAGCAATAATTTAAACTTCTAGCAGTTCCTTTATGCATTCTTTTTTCTATAGAGAAGACAATTTCATCACAGGAATATATGACAAGTGTTGAGATATCTTTCCACTCCCCCTACTCCCATATTTTCCATTTTCAGTTTCATCTGTACAAAAAAAGGAGTTCTGGTAGCCTCTGCTGAGACTTTTCAGTAGAAAATGCTCTGAAAAAAAGAAAAGAAAGAAGCAGCTATTTTGAAGACCAACTTTCTAAAATTATATGTAGGGAGGCTAAATTTTAGATGCCCTCCCTTATAGCTGAAAGTACACATATTTGGTTTAATCATATTAATCAAAATGTATTTGCATTCAGGCGCTCCTACATATCAGTGCTTCTAGATGGATTTAAATTATATTGACAGAAAACATCCATTTCCTCACGTTTTCAAATACCAAGCAGGTTTTAGAACCTTGGTCTACAGCATGGTTGTTTTTGGGAAAAAATGTAATTCAGCCAAGGCTGATCTTGTTTTTCCTTTATTCTTTAAGCCAGAAGCAATTACTTTTCATTTCGGGATTAAGCGGCTATAACATTGCCATTCGTCGCCGAGGCTCCTGGTTTCAGCATGTCTCCTTGGTCCCCAGCCAGTCCTGGGTGTTCAGGTAGCAGCTGTGGCTGGGAGTGCCTCTCCAGCCCGCATTCCTTGGCTATGAATTTTGCAGCCCTGTTTATCTGATGAAGACCTCCCCAGAGCAAGTTGCTCATGACACTGTGACACAGGCCTTAATGAATGATATGGAAAGATACGGAATATTTTTCCTCCAGGAATGCCAACCAGGCCTGAATGCCAACCAGGCCCTTCACTTTGGTTGATCACTGCAGAGGCCTGGTGCTGAGATCTGATGAGACCTGTTCCACATAAACCAAATTCTAACAGGATGCCTGCAAGTCCTCTCTACGAGGCTGTCACCCAAGTCTCTTCAGAGAATTTTCAGCAATTACATTTGCCCACTTCTCTGCACTAATTATTTACTTCAATTTGTACTTTTAGTCTGTAAATGTTAGCACCATCAGCAGTCAAAGACCTGTCTTCTTTCTGTTGGAACCACGACTTTACTTGGGATAGATTTGGGATGGCTTTAGAGCGTGACTTTCTCACTATTTCATGTGTCTTCATTTTGCCTTCCCAAACCAGACTGTAAATTCCCTGAGAGAGGAGACCCAGAACACTGGCAGTATCTTACATAGACAGATACACAGCAGACAACAACATGAACAACATTTGGACAAAAAGACTGTTGTTGGTGTTAGTAATTGAGAAAATTTGCCTTAACATGTTCAGAAGACTCTCCATCATCTGCTCTAACATATGCCTCTTCTTTCCCCTGCCTGCCCTCTGCTGGAACTGCTAATGAGCAATAAGAGGGCCAAAGCAGGACATCGTGTGGGAAACATGGGAAAACAGGGGCTTGTCTGACTGAACGGCAAGTTGAATTGCTGTGATTTGTGGGTTCACAACCCAGATCTTTGAAGCTCCTCGTTATTTGCCTTGGGTACCTAGCAGTCTCATTACAAGACCCTTATTGGTTCAGCTGGGCATGGGAATGTGATTCTACCTACCGGCAGGAGATGGACCAAATGACCTTGTATGTCTTCCACTCTTTGCTTGTTTCATCTCTCTCTCTTGCAATAATCCAATAGATGGCAGATAGCTGAGCCAGATAGTGCCCCGTCCCAAACATAAATGCCCTCCTGTTTACTGATCCATCAAAACCTTCACCACCTCCATATATAACAGGCTTTTACAAGGATCAGGCGGGACTGCCACTTGGGTAATGCAATGCAGAAGGTAAGTGTGAAACTCTAGACTGGTTTCCTCTTTCGAAGGGCTGCAGGATGTGACAGCTGCTGAGGCAGCCCATTTGCCCTTGGAGAGGAGAAGCAGGAGTGTCTGATCACTAGATGACCTCTCCCTCCTGCGGGCTCAGGGATGGTGTGAGCAAGTCCCGCTCTCCCTCCTGCCCTTAGATGGTGAGATGTTATGTCAGATGGCGAGATGTTATGAAAATAGGGAGGAAAATGTGTTTTTTTTGCTTTTGTTTTATTATTAAAAGAGGCACTCTCTGAAGAGGCAGAATCCATTAGCTGAATCCATTTTAGTATCTATGGTTAATTAATTTAAGCAGCTTTAATGCCCTTGTATTATGTAGCCTTTAAGAGCAATTCTGGTAAATGTCCATCCCATAGATACTAGCACTACTTTGTATGTATGATACTGTTTTTTTTGGAACGGTGAATCTGAATTATTATCCAGATATTAAATTTGCATACAACTCTGTCTAGACAGTGCAAACATGCTTCCTCATAGTTTGAGCATTGTTCAGTACATTTTGAAGTGGGGAAAACTGCTCAGATATGATACTCCAAGTTTTAAGTCAGTGAATGAGTCAGTCTGGTTGCTTCCCGAAACATAACTTTGAAAATCAGTTTTATCATACTAGGAACTGAATGATTGATTTCCACATTTCATTCTGTAAATTAAACACTAGACTTTGAATTACTAGAAGAAATGGCACAGTTAGCCAGTAAGGCTTTCTTATAAAATGACAGCATTTTAATTTAGTGTATGCATTAGCATTTACTCATGGGTAAGATTTCATCAATCAATTTCCCATTTAAAAAAGATGTCTTTGAAAACAACAGTAGAGAAATGCTGAGTTCCAAAAGCAGTGTCATGAAAGGCAGCAGGTCTAGCATTTTGGGCACGTGTTTAACTTAATTGTAGTCAATAATTATGCAGCTTCAAGCATAAACCCACATTTTAAAAATTTATTTTATTTTGAGAGGGAAAGAGGGAATCCCAAGGAGGCTCTGCTTTCTCAGCACAGAGCCCGATATGAGACTCTATCTTATGAGATCATGTCCTGAGCTGAAATCAAGAGTCAGACACTCAACCAACTGAGCCACCCAGGTGCCCCTAAACCTACATTTTTTTCTCCCCTCCCCCCCGACCCTAAACCTACATTTTTTTAAGTTTATTTATTTTGAGAGGGAGAAGGAGAGTACAAGCAGGGGAGGGGCAGTGAGGGAGGGAATCCCAAGCAGGCTTTGTGCTGGCAGCGTGGAGCCTGACACAGTGCTTGATCTCATAAACCGCAAGATCCTGAACTGAGCCCAAACCAAGAGTCAGAGGCTTACCTGACCGAGCCACTCAGGTGGCCCTAAACCCCCATTTTTTAAGCATCTACCTTATTAACTGACTTTCTTGGAATGTTAGAGTTTATAAAAGAAAATAGTTAAAGTTTATTAAGAGGTGTGTTGTATTTATTCAAAATTATAACAATGTGTGATATTATTTTAAAATATGTATTTTGCTACTTTGATGAGTTTTTTCTGTACTACTTTTGGTTTTTAAATTTGTTTACAGTAGCACATCAGTAGTTGGCTTCAGATGAAATGTATATTAGTACTATTTGCTAATTTTATAAATTAATTGTTTCCTTTTTGAAAATAAGCTGAAAGTTACTCCAAAATAGAAGCTTTAAGAATTCCTACCACCCATTAAATATTAATCTTAAATCATTTATTCATTTCATTCATTCAACCAAATGGTATTTAACACATAACAGGATTGACTTATCCATATGCAAGACAGGCATAGCACCTGGAGC